CTTATAGAAGAAACTGTTTTCAGGGATAGCAACGTGAGGCGATTTTTGAACGTCTTCGACACCTCTTATGTCACCTGCTTAGAATCGTTGCGGAAAAATTTCCATAAACACACATGGCCGGAATTTGTTGCTGAATTTCTGTCCCACTCTCAAGAAGCAATAACCACTAATATCGCAACCCTGTAGTGTATAACAATAATAATTATTTATGATTATAATTATATTACGAGATATGTATGTAAATATGAACATGATTATATTATGAGATATGCATGCAAATTCGAAATCGTTACCTGCACCAAATTCAAGCCAGGAACGAGCGTTTTGACTTCTTTAATTAACGGAATCTTTTTCTTTTCATCGTACCTCACCAGCTTTACTTTGAACGACGTTTTCTTCGATTCTACTTTTGGCATGGATTCTGTCTGAGAAAAACGCGTGTTTATTGTCGTGACAACAGTACAAAAAGGTGTGATTTAAATTACGGTTTGTGGTGCAGCGGTGTTCATTTGGGGACTGTACGACATGGCTGAGAATTCAGGCAGGTTTAAACGCTTCTGAAAGCACATAACGGATAAATTTATAAAAGTACGTATTCAGTTAAGTCCATAAAGGCACAAGATCAAATTTTACCTTCAGCGCTTCGTTCAGCTCCGATATTTCGACCAACGTCAGCCTTGTGATGCTATCGACGATTTCTGATATTTTAGGGGCAAAAGTTTTCTCTTCGCCGTCAGCCGAGGGTACTTTGATGCTGGGTGCTCCTTTCTTGAAAACAGGTGTCTGCTTTGACGATTTGGCGCTTTTCTCGGAAACGGTAGCTGGGGCAGGAGGAGGAGGAGACGGTTCGTCAGGGTCGGCAGCAGACGTATTTGAACTACTGTCCATTTGCTTCACGTCGGTCGCCAGCGATGCGGATGCACAGCGGACGATTCGGGAAGTAGAAAATCGAAACTGAACAAAACTACAAAGAATAATAAACTGAGGCTTTCAATCGTCGGTCATGAAACCATCGCTGTACCAGTTGCTCTTGCGGGCGAATGCCACAAAAACGGACTGCAGCATTAACATAATCGAACGTTTTATTCACCAATGGACGATAACAACATATCTGAAACGATCGGCGATCATCAAATTATTAACAAACCGAAAAGAATGAAATATGACACCTCTTACATGTTGAAAACAAGTCTGAGCTGTCGATGATCCAGTCAAACAAAGCTACTTGATAAACTTTGAGGTACTATGCTAATGACACTTCACATCGATCTAACTGAGCGATAGCTGCGAATGCGGGCCTCCATACGACCATTCGAAGAAAAACAAATGAAGGATCCGAACGGTACAAAGGATATGGCGGTATCACAAAAAGTTCTCAAAGTTTAAACCTTCGACTCTATCGTTGCTGTGATTACCCTAGTTAGGTTTTACTAACTGAGAATGCTGCTTTCATAAGTTTATAAGAATGCCGTCAACATGGCGTAAAAAGCACACTGAGAGTAGGGTCATGCAGGAAACTTTTCTTTCAGGAGCTGCTCAAAAAAAACAAAAATGACAAAGTTTAAGCAGTTAATATCAGATAAACAAGCTTCCTCAGTTGTCAACCTTCTATGGAAAACGTAGGGTCGACTGCCAGCTTAAAACATGACCGAAGCCGTCTATCGGTAAAGAACAACAACAAGAACCAAGAAAGGTATTGGCACATTAAATACCATCAGATCACCAGATTCGAAATGTTCATGTCTTCTTCTCAAGTATGAATAGAAACAATCACTGAAGTTAAGCGGAAATGTTAAGATTCCTGAACCAAACGATGAACATCCCGGTGTTATCCGGAATGTCTATTATTTTGCAATTTTATTCCATAGTTTGTTTGCAGTTTACAACGTGCAGATTTGCAGTCACCCATCAGAGGGCTTGTAGACGTGGTGGCATAGTATCTAAAAGATCTGCTTCTAAGTCCGGAGGTGCCGGTAAACACTGGCTGTGAGTGAATTCATACGGAATCAGCAAAACATGTTAGTTCTGAAGGGTGCACACAAATACCTGCCCGTCAGTCATTACGACGATAAATGAACCAATTTTAGACATTCGTTGGTGGGTGTTTAAGACATGAATACAAAGGCTGAAGACACTGCGCATGCATGTCGGCAGTTCTGCTTGAAATACTGTCGACAGCAACAGATTATTACATCAGTGGGGCTTGATTTCCATCCAGCATTAGCAGTGAATAGGCAGAGAGCAGTCACACTTTATGCACGGGTTTAGCTGTCTGCAAGAAGAACATCATTCATGAAACAAGTTCAGCAGTTATTTGAAAACGCAATAAATGAAATATGCAAATGCCAATGACAGCTGAAGTCATCGTACAAACTTCTCGTATGATAAACGTTGCTTCAAACTTGTGACGACCAGTTTTCAGCCTTCATCAATCAAACAAGACGCTTAAATTCTGCAGAATCTT